TACCTATTTAATAAATTGCTCTTTGTTTCCACCATACTGAAAACTTGTTAAATGAAGAATCTTCAAGGATGCCACCACCAGAACACACACATACAAAATGAGAGGCAGTGTAGTGTAGTGAAGGGCCAAGTTTCTGGAGTCACACTGCCTAAGGTTAAAAATCATAGTTTTGCTACTTGCTAGCTAAGCTTGAGCAAAATCTTAATTTTTTGTGCCTGGGTTTTATCATATATTTATCTCATAGGGTCACTGTGAAAATAAAAATAATCCATGTGAAGTGTTTAGGAGAGGAGCTGGTTTATAGCAAACATTCAGTTTAACATTAGCTACTGGTGGCAACAGTTGAAAATGGAATGGATGTTAAAATCTCTGGACTTGCAAACAAGAAAGCTGATATTCAAAATTAAATGACAGTCACTGCAGTTGGCAGACATATCATAGTAAGTGGAACTTGTAAATTAAACATCTTAGGATATGTCTGCACTGCATGCTATTACAACTACACTAATTTGGCCTCCAATTTAATTTCATGCATGTCTCTATTTCACACATGAACATGTTCTCAAAAGCTAGCTAACACAAACCAAGAGTTTCAAACCCCAGAGGGCTCAGTTCTGTTTCTCTAAATGGCTGAGCTTATTTTCTAAAATAGGTATTTCAGGCCAAATGTTTCCCAGAAACCTAAATGACAGAATGGAGACGGGGAATTAGAAGGCTTGCAGTTATGTCTTGGCTTTATTACAAATTCAACCGGCTGCCTCTCAGTCAGTCAAATCTTGAGACATTTGTTTCCTCAAACATAAAATAGGGCTGGCCAGTTAGCTCAGCTGGTTAGAGCACGGTGATGTAACACCAAGGTCAAGGGCTCAGATCCCTGTACTGGCCAGCCGTCAAAACAAAACATAAAATGGAAAGAACTGTTTGCTGCCTTATCTCAAAGACAGTGAGAGAGGCATATACTCATACAAATCACAGATCTGAAGGAAGAGTTCTATACAAAATCAGATACTGGTATCCAGTACTATTAGGCTCATAAGTCATAAAATACATACATATCTTATCTCCTATCTTCTTCCTTTTTGCTTTCTCCACTTTATTCCCATTAACGTGTAATTGGGTCTTAATCAGATGGGCTTTAACTTGAATGTGAATCAAATTAGAGTGAAGAAAAGTTATTAAAACGGTTACCTGTCACTTAGTATTTTCAGTAAGGATGAGATAGTTAATTTTATGTGTCAACTTGAGTGGACCACAGGGTGCCCAGATATTTGGTCAAACATTATTCTGAGTATTTCTGTCAGGCTGTTTTGGGATGAGATTAACATTTAAATTGGTAGTCTGAGTAAAGCAGATTGCCCTCCCTAATGTGGGTGGGCCTCATCCATTCCAATCAATTGAAGGCCTGGAGTAGAACAAAAGGATACCTTCCCCCAAGTAGGAGAGAATTCTGTTGCCTGACCACCTTCGAAATGGAACATTGGCTCTTTCAGCCTGCTGGCCTTTGGAATTGAACTGAGACATAAACTCTGCAGATTTTGGACTTGCCAGCCTCCATAATTGCGTGAGCCAACTTGTTACAATAAATACATATATACAGTCATGCGTTGTTTAATGATGGGGCTATCTGTGTTCTGAGAAATGCATCATTAGGCAACTTCATTATTGTGCAAATATCATAGAGTGTACTTAAACAAACCTATATGGCATAGCCTACTATACACCTAGGCTATATGGTATAGTTTATTGATACTAGGCTACAAATCTGCACAGAATGTTACTGTACTGAATACCATAGGCAATTGTAACACAATGGTATTTGTGTATCTAAACACAGAAAAGGTACATAGAAAAAACATGATATTATAATCTTATGGGACCACCACCGTCTATGTAGTCCATTGTTGACCAAAATGTCATTATGTGGCACATATCTATGTATCTCTCTATGTTTATATCTATACCTGTCTATACATATTTATATCTCTATATAATATCTATCTACAGCTCCTATTGGTTGTTTCCCTGGAGAACCCTAATACAGAACAATATCATTATTATACCAAAACTCTGCAGATAAAACTTGAGAGAATTCATGCTGGAAAACTAATGGCAGGTAGGGTTTTTCTAACAATAAAGGTCATATATAGATACATTTAAGTCTCTGGTCTTTATGGCTGAATCAAAATAAACATGTAGATTTCTTTCCAACATACATCATTTTCTAGTGACTTCCTCCTAACGATTCTAACCTGCAGCTTTGGGGATTAGTTTGGCTTTAAGAAATGAATCACTTATACAACTGAGGAATCTTTCTATACATAGTGAACTGAAAGGGGAGGAGGGGAAAAGGGCACTGAGCTTGTTTTCCTTGGGCAATCTGCAACTGGGTTTTACAAAATTCCATGGAGATTTTTACATCCTCTAACCACGGCCTTAGATAATGTCAAAAGTAGGCTACTGACTACAAAATGATAAGGACAGGCAAGAAAAGCCTACATTAGATGGGACAGTGTCCTGAGGACAGAAGACAGACCACCTAAAGAAAAAAGTTAAATGCAGAGATAACAGAAGAAAATAAGGAACCCAATTATACCTTAGCAATAGTTAGGGAAAGTGAATTAGGGGAATCATCTTGGACTAATTTTAGCTCATTTGTAGTGATAAAAGAACAAGCCATTACTTACTGTTAAAGGGCGTTCCTTGACCTGTGATTTCTTTTCCCCTGCTTGTTTGGTCACTCGGCTATTCTGTTCAAAGAAGAAAGCCAGGGCAGTTACTATCCCACAGCTCTGTTCTCTGCCCTCCCTTGGGGTTCTCAGTACACCCTGTAGGAAGTTATGTTTTCTCTTTGGCCAAAGACCAGCTGAGTGGTTAGAGGGGCATCTTGTCTCAAACACAGAATCTCCTCTAGGGAGGGGCTACAACAATATCCAGGTTCCAAACAATTTTACCAAAGAGGTAGCATCTCAATGATAAAACCTAATTATTTTTAGTATAATCACACTTCTGTTCATGTAAATATTTTCTTCTTTCTCATCTTAATTGCTTTAATTTCTCTATGGATAGGGGCATGGAGAGAAATTAGTAATATTTCAATTCCTTTTAAAATTAGTTTTAGGCCTATAATGTTCACCAGTTGGGAGAGAAAATCCAGAAGGGCTGGCAGGCCAGCCTCTGGCAATGCTTGAAAAGGCAGGTGAATCCTGAGTCAGCAAATGGGAAAAGAAAGCATGTTAAAATTTTTTAAATGGTTACGTCTCTAAGCTGTATGCAGGATGTTATATCCTGTACTGAATTGGTACTAGGCAATTGGATCTAAGCAATTGGTACTAGTAAATTAACTAATAAACAGAATAATAATTACCTTTATTCTAAAAGAAGGCATTTAAAAAATAAAGTCTATTTCCATAACACTCTTGAATCATCAGTATAAAACAGCAATTTAACAAACTCACATTAAAGACCAATAAATACCATGAATACAAGACTTAGTTCCCATTTATTTAATTTTGCAGGGGTTCAAACCAGTGAATAAAACTCAGTTTTCTCTTCACGTAAATGGAATTTGTTACTTCACTATTCTTCAGAATCATTGTAATCAAAACCCCACCTGAAAACGGTAATACAAAAGAGAACTTCAGGGTCTTAAAAAAATTGTGCAAATCATAATAACTGGCATTAAACAACAACAAAACCACTGAATGCTTGGTCCCTTTCTCTTTCTGATATTTGGACTCTGGCCTCTTAGGATAGTAGTTTTCAAAGTCTGGTGGGTACCAGAATCACCTGGAGAGCTAACAGAGTGTATAGAAACCCAGGCCTTTCAAAGGCCTCAGTCTGTATCTTTTGAGTTCTCGAGTAATGGTTTCCAAACCAGGCTGACCAGAATCACCTGGGAAGCTTTGAAAACAACACATTGCCAGGCTTCACCCCTGGAAATCTTAATTCAGTAGGTTTGAGACTGGAACCCAGAAATCTTAAAACGTTTAAAAAATGTTTAACAAATTCCCCAGGTGATTCTGATCAGCCAGATTTGGGAACCACTGATTTGGTACACTTATTTAAGGTCTATCAAAGAACTCCAGGCCTCTGAGTTCATTAAGAATATTCATAACTTTGGGTAGGTTATAAATCACCATTTTAGAGAGAATTTAACAAATTAAACTGTCTAGAAGTGATTTGATACTAAAAATCCTGCCCAATTTAGCATTTAAATTACTTAATGATTTTCTCTCCACTCTCCACCCTCAGGCCAAGGCCTATATATATTTGTTTCCTATGGCTGTTAAGTGCTAGCCACCCACAGTGCTCATAAAGTTGCCCCGCTTGATTCTGTTATGTTAACCTCTCACTGTTCTTCTTTCATTCGGATTCCCAAAGCTGTAAGGAACAGACCTACTTCAGAGCACCACAGCTAACAGGTGTCACTTGCAGCATTATACATCAAAACATCAACAAAGAAATCTGCAAACCGTGCCCCCATTCCACTGGTAGAGAGACACTAGAAGATCCTAATGTGAGGATTAAGCTCTTTGTGGACAGAAATGCTCTCATCGCACAAGATACATAGTTTATTTATTTATTTTTTTTAAAAGATGACCGGTAAGGGGATCTCAACCCTTGGCTTGGTGTTGTCAGCACCACGCTCAGCCAGTGAGCAAACCGGCCATCCCTATATAGGATCCGAACCCGTGGCCTTGGTGTTATCAGCACCGCACTCT